CAAAAATACCAGAGGTCATTTTCTTCAATAACATATTAGAACCTTAAAAATCAGGTTTTGCTTATATCTTTTTAATGCAAAGGGAATAAATTCTCATCCACTTTGGGGGTATGAAATTTTAAGCTGATGTTGTCATGCATTATTAGTTAAGATTGATTGGCTTCAATGATATATGGCCAAAAATAAAAAGTCATTCCTTCGATAACATATTAGATCTTCAGGATCAGGTTTTACTTATAACTTTGGAATGCAAAGGGAATCAATTCTCATCCGCTTTGGGGGTATGCAATTTCAAGCTCAAGTTGCCATTTGTAAGATTAATAAATTGGTGATGTCAAATTCAGATCTGGTCAAAGTCCCAAATTGAGTTAGAATTCAACTGCATGAAATTAGCCTCTTTACTTGGAAATCCACCCAAAATCAGACAATTAGCGAACTTATCAGCAGCGGCACTTACCTAAAGAACTAATTAAAGCTATTCTTCAAAGGAAATCAAAACTGGAAATTATATAAAAAAAAATTGAATCAAAAAGTTTATCTACACATCATTACCTTTTTTTTTAGGTGAAGTGCATTAAAAACCTCCACTAGTTTATTTTCTTTCATCTTTTAACTTACTCCACTTAATTTGAATTTAGTTAACTCAACGTTTCCATGCTCCTTATGTGTTGTTCTCATTCTTCTTACATATTATGTTATTCAAACTCCTATTTTAATTGAAATAAGAGTATCATTGAACCACTTAAATTATTGACTATAAAATAACCAAATGTAATGAAACATCAATAGTCTAATACTATTCTAGTAAATGAATATTGGTTGGTGCAATACTAATCAAAGAACGAAGGCCTAAAACTTGTACTACATTCAAATCATTCCGTATCACACTAGGCTGTAATTATGGGCCAATTGCTAAGTGCACTTCTTCCATTTCCATGGTTTGGATTCGATTTCTCACTCATAAAGTTGTAATTGTTAGAAAAAGAAATCCTTTCATCAATTTTGTCTATAGAAGTGATTCAATCTAATACAATTATAATAATATGGGATTTAAATTCAAAATCTAATTTATTGATTTTTGGGTCTTCACAATTCAAAAAGGTAAATTACTTTCTTTGTTTTAAAATAATAAGGGTTTTTTTATTTAAAATTTGTTCTAAGATAATGATTATTTTTTTAATTTTTAAAGAAGATAAATATATATTTTTTAACTCTATCATTATTTTTTAATTTTAATTGTTCATCTTTTTATAAAAAATTATTTTATTTTTATTTTTTAAAATAAAATAAATAAAAATAAAAAACATTTTAAAATTTTGTATTTAAAAATAAAATGAAATAACATCTTTATTTTAAAAGAGAGGAAGTATAATTTTAAAACATTGTCTATTTGTCATTCCGTTGAGGGAAACAAGGGGCAGTAATTCTTTGGAACCCTGAAAATTGTCAACCAAACAACGCCCAACTGTGAGGAATTGACAATTAGGAGCGGCGAAGGAAATCTGGACACGTGGCACAAATAATGCCAAAAATAAGGTTTACGTTTCTCACGCGTCTGGCATGATTGAAAAATTAAATTAAAAAAATCAAAAATCAAAGGATAAGTCCAAACGATCCCTTGCTCTGCAGTCCGCTCTTTCTATTTTTCTTCTTTTCTCATAAATACTTGACAATCTGACACCATCCCTTCCACGTTGGCACCTCTCACGTGGGCCACCCACTGTCTTGTCCTCTATATCTCTCTCCTTACCCCACACGTGTACCCCTGGACCCCACCCTTTTTCACGTTGTTCGGGGTCCCTCGTTAATGTAGAAACAAGCCACGCTTACGTGGCGACTATCCACGTGGCTGATTCCCTTGCTGTCAGTTATTAAATCCATCACGCCTACTTGGTAAAAAGATTAAAAAGCAAGGAGTCTCTTGCTACCGTCCAATTCTTTGAATTCCCCAAAACACCCTTGTAAGTTATCAAAAATTACACTTGTATTTATCCACTCCATTGTAAATTTAGCGTAGTAGTTTTTAATTGTAAAACACAAAGTAATATAGGAAGTGTACACAATAATGGAACCAGAAAAAACTTAAAAAGGAAATTTATAAGGTTATTTGAATTAGATATAGTTAATAATTGATATTTAATAATTAATAATAATAATAATTTATAATTTATAATATTTAATTTATTTAATTAGAGATAATAATTGATAATTATTTATACAAAATTAAAATAAATACTCTTTATATTTATAAACTCACGAATTCACTAAGTTTGTAAAATCTTAAGATCTAAATTTAAGACAATTTATATTATATAACACAATTTATTTAAATAACATCTTCACTTAAACTACAATTAAACCAAACAAACTCAAGCACAATTGAATTAGTCAATAAAATCTTAATAGGCCAAGTAAATATCAATGGGGTAAATTTCATTGTTAATAATAAATAGTCCGAATGTTACTGAGATGTCAAAATTATAATTCTCAAGAATTACGGTCACAATGGATCCATTGGAGGGTTAAACTCGGTAAACGACTCTATAAATAGACAAAAGAACCGCAACCAATCTGTTTCTCTATCGCCCTTTTATATTGCCTTGCCTTTTCCTTGTAAGCAGTACTGATTTGATTAATTTTTTTTTAATCTTTAATTTTTAATTTTATTTTCTCTCTCTTAAACCAAACCCTAAATAAACCCCACCACACAAGCTTGTCACCTCTAATGCATGTCCTTTTGTTCTCTCCTCACTTGTTTCTCTCTCACCTTTTCACCTCTTGAAAACCAACACAACCTCCAAACAAGAACAAGGAAACGCATAGAGGAGGAGAAACAAATCCAAAGCAAAGGCAAAAAAAGCAAAATCCATTTATTCTATGGCAGTTGAAGCTAGGCATCTCAATCTCTTTTCCCCTCAACTCTTAGGAAACAGGTCAGTCTCAATTGATCTTTTCTTTTCTTTTTCTGGGTTTCTAGTTTCTGTATCTAAAGTCGATTGTGGGGGTGATTTGGCAGGGAAATGATGAACCCTATTGAAGCAAACGTGGGTTTCTACAACACCCAGATGGGATATGGCGCGCCATTGTCGGTGGCGACTGAAGCGCTGCTTCCGTTTTACGGTTCTATAGTTGCTGATTCGATCCCTAACAAGGCTGCCGCAATCAAATCGGAAAGCACTCTGACCTACAATATTCCGGTGTCGAGAAAGCGGCCCAGAGATTCCTTCAGCCCTCTTCTCTCCTTCCCTTCACTGCCGCTCCCTCAATCCAACACCAAAGCCTCCACCCCTCTCTCCTTTCTTGGAAATGATATCTCGCTTCAGATCCAACAGCAACAATTGGATATTGATTGCCTCATATCCCAACATGTAAGTAACATCAACCCCAGAATTAATTCTGTGAAATTAATGGGTATTTTATTTTTTGGGTCAAGATCATATTCCAATTGGTGTTTCTTGAATTGTGCGAAGACGGGTATTGATGGGGTTTTTGGATTTTTCTTATAGATGGAGAAAGTGAGGATTGAGATTGAGGAAAAGAGGAAAAGGCAAGCAAGGAGGATAATGGACGCTTTAGAGGAAGGAATGATGAAGAAACTCCGAGCCAAAGAAGAAGAAATTGAGGAAATCGGCAAACTCAATTGGGAACTGGAGGAAAGAGTCAACTCCCTCTGCATCGAGAACCAAATTTGGCGAGACCTGGCCCAGACCAACGAGGCCACCGCCAACGCCCTCCGCACTAACCTCGAACAAGTTCTCGCGGCACAGGTCGTGAAGGAAGAGCGCACCTCGGTTGACGAGGCAGTTGTAGACGACGCACAGTCATGCTGCGGGAGCAGTTGGGAGGAGGAGCGGCGCTCGGTTGCAGGGGAGGGAGGAGAGAGAAAGTTGGTCAAGGATAAGGATGGAGCAGCAGCAGCAGGGGAAGGTACGAGCAGGGTGTGCAGGAATTGCAGGAAGGAGGAGTCGTGCGTGCTGCTTTTGCCATGCAGGCATTTGTGCTTGTGTACTGTGTGTGGGTCGAGTCTTCACGTCTGCCCCATCTGTAAATCCACCAAGACAGCTAGTGTTCATGTTAACATGTCCTAGAAAAAAAAAAGAAGAAAATACTCTCAAAAATTACCGAAAAGGAAAAAAAAAATGTTCAAAAATTTCATTCCAAATTTTGTAATTAGTTTATTCTTTTCATCTTCCCCTAATTTTCTGGTTTTTTTCTGTAGTTTATGTGTTTGTGTGCACAATCCATATGGCATTTTAATTTAGTTTCTAGCACAAACAATTTTTTACCAAAAAAAGAAAAGAAGGTTTGTAAATGGTAAGTTCATCTTCTGGTAATTTATGTGTTTTTCCCCTCTGTATTTAGATTTAGATTTGTACTTTTGATATTTGTTTTTTCTTTTTTTATGAAAAAAATTTATCTACCTCTAAAATTAACATCTATAGGAAGATTTTATTGAAGGATGATGCTATTTAGGTTGAGTTTTGGAAGTGGATTTTAGAATTGTACAAATCTTTACTTTATTTTTTTGGTACAAAAACCTTTACTTTTTCACTGAAAAAAAAATCAATGAGAAGTTATAGGTCTCTTCCATTAATACTACCATTCTAGCATTAACGCCATTTACCTTCTTCTCTTTTTTTTTATTGAAGGATGATGCTATTTAGGTTGGGTTTTGGAAGTATACTTTAGATTTGTACGAATCTTTACTCTTGTTCTCTTAGATTTGTACAAATCTCTACTTTTTTTTGTTTGGTACAAAAACCTTTACTTTTACACTGGAAAAAAATAAATAAATGAGTACTTTTACACTGTAAAAAAATAAATAAATGAGAAATTATAGATCTCTTCCATTTATACTACCATTCTAGCATTAATGCCATTTATCTTTTTCTTCTTTTTTTTTTTAACTATTTATGAGAAAATGCTATATCTTCTTCGTTGAAATATTACTTTAAAATTGTAATTCTAACTAAGAAAAATTGACTTTTTCGCCTTCTTTTTTTTTTGGGAGGGGGGGTGTCCAACAAGGCGGTGATGGGCCCGGGGGGATTTGGCGCATTTTAGTAACTTGGGGGTGCATTTTAGCAAAAAGATTTGGGGACCAGGAGTGAGGGAGATGTGGTGGGTCCCATTAACGCATCTACCCGACAGATGGAGCGAACAAACAAACAAAACTAAGGTAGTAAAAGATTGGGGGAGCGTAGAAAGACGCGCGAGTGAAGTCAACGATGGAGGTTTGAAAGTTGAAAGGGACAGGTGTGAGGCAAAAGCTGACACGTAGGACGCGCGCAAATGTCGCTGTTGTTGGCAGTAGCAAGCACTAACCTTTCCTTTCCTTTCTCTCTCCCTCGTCGTCTCGTGCACACAACGGAATGCACGATTTCAGAGTCGCCTTCGATAAAGTTGGACATCTCCATCAAATATTTTATACTATTTTCACCAAAAAAAAATTATTTTAAACTATTATTTTAAAATACAATTACCAATCTAATATTGTTATCAAATTTGACCTTTTGAATTAAGTGGTTTTAATCACACTGGTAAGATTCATATCTCTTTTCTTCAGGGTAACTATTCGAGCAGACTTCATAACAAATGTTCAAAAAAAAACAAAAATCTAATATTGTCATTATAAAAAAAAAAATTATAAAATACTCATATAAGACTATCTATTTTAAAATTAAAAAATGATGATTTATTCGAAATTGCTTTTAGATTTGGCCATATATTTTTGCGGTTATAATTTCTCTAGCTATTGCAACATATTCAACAATATAGAGTCTGAAAAATATATTTAAATTTTATTTATTTTAAAAAATTGATAAATTACTAAGTAAAGATATTTAAATTTGATAAATAAATTAGTTGTGAATATTTTTTGACATTTAATATTAAAATATCTATAAATCAAGTTTCACATGTTTTAAAATTAATTTATCTAATTTTAAAAGTATATTTCATTTACAATATGACACTTAAGTGGTGGTCTAATATTCAAATCTATAATTTGATTTATAATGCTACACACTTATTTATTATTAAATTTAAGCACTAAAGTTATTGTAATCTCATTTTAATAAAAATATATAAGAGAAGACAATAAGTTCAAAATAAATATTTGTAAGTAGGATGGATGGAAAGATGAAGTTAACATAAGCTTCCATTGAGCAAAACATAGAATTTTAAAAAAATTAGTTCAAATTTTTGTATATTTTCACCATACTATTGAAGAATTAAAAGTGAGATAATACTTCTTATATATTGAAATGAAGTTTTTTATTTTAAATAAAAAAAAAAGATAAATAAGAAGGTGAGAATAAAAATGGCAGAAAAAAATGAAAAAGGAGAAAAGAAGGGAGACCACGAGAAAAGGGCCGTCGGAGGGAGCAATAGTGGTAGCGCCAAAAGTGGAAAAGAAAAGCGGAAGGAAAAG